TCTGAGGTGTAGGTCTGTTAACTTGGATGTGTGGCTGGCTTTGTTGATGTTCATGAGGCTGAAGGTCTGTTCACACACGAAGGTAGAGCCGAACAAAGCCAACATCATCTGCGCTTTTCGCCTTAGATTTGGAAACGCGGCATCATTGAGTGAAGCATAGAAGTCGTTTAGTTTCAGAGAGCTGAACTTCTCTTTTAAGGCAGGGTCGGACTGAAGGTCGATGAGTTTGAGCTGAAGCTCCTCTGGAGCTGTTTCGGGGTCTTGTGACAGAGGAAAGGCCACCAATTGAAGTGACTTGTCAATTATCGAAATCCAAAAACCGACGGCAGAATTCTCCGTGCAGTGCATCCAGTGACTCACTGTGTTTCTTTACTTTTGCTCCGGCCTCTTTCAGCGTGGCTAGTGTAGGAAAATGAGTGAATGACTTGTTCAAAATGTGCCTGGAGAATAAAGCCAGCTTGGATTTGAAGGTTTTCACGTTTATGTGCATGTCATGCACAAACTGCTCCTTCCCCTGCAGTTTCCGTTGAGCTCATTCAAGTGTGAAAATACGTCCGTAGCAAACGCAAAGTCACAAATCCAGCTCTTGTTGCTCAGCTCAGGAAATTCATCAGTCTTCCCCTGCCGCTCCAAAAACACGCCAATCTCCTCTTTGAGCTCCCACACTCGTTGAAACTCTTTGCCCAAACTCAACCAGCGGACACGGGAGTGATAAAGCAGGTCCTGGTGATCCGCATCAGTTTCCTCCAGGAACGCAATGAACTGACGGTGCTGAAGTCCCCGTCAACTTCATACGCGCGTGTGAAGTTGACGAGTTTCACCACAGGATTCACAACATGACTCAGCTGTAACACCGATTTACATAGAGATTCCTGGTGGAGGATGCAGTGGAGGAAAATGACATCCTGGTCAGGGTTTTCATTTTTCACTTTATTCTGGATTCTCCTCAGCAGGCCAACGTTTTTTCCCTTCGGAGATCCATCTGTGGTGACGTTAACAAGCTTACTCCAGGAAAGCTTCATGTTTTTGATGGCAGCAGACACCCGTTCAAACAACTCCTCTCCCCGTGTTTGTCCTTTCAGAGACTCCATTGTCAAAAACTCCTCCGTTATTTCAAAGGTTTCGTTGATTCCTCGGATAAAAATGAGGAGCTGAGCAGTGTCTTTGACATTGTTGCTTTCATCCAGTGCTAAAGAATAAAAAGTGAATGACTTCGCCTTTTTGTTTAATCTGCTGGTGATATCTTCATCTATTAGTTCTACACGGCGAGTCACTGTCCGCCATGATAAACTGATTTTCTCAAATTTGTCTTTGGTCTCCGGGCACAAAACACCTGCTGTCTCTACCATACATTCTTTAAAAACTCGTCCTCAGACAGTGGTTTGCTGGCCTTTGCTATTTTGAATGAAAGCATAAAACTGGCCTTGGTACTTGACTCTTGAATGGCAGTTTGACGGTGACAAAAACTTTGCTGAGCCTTCAAATTAGCTGCCAACTTCTCAGCAGCAGCTTCCCGTTCTTTTGTTGAGAGCTTGCTAGCATAATTAGCGTGCTTTGTGGCAAACTGACGGCTAATATTGTACTCTTTAAAAACCGCCACAGTTTCTTGGCATATCAGGCAAACAGCAGATGATCGGTGTTCAGTGAAAAAATATTTAGTTGTCCACTCCTTTTTGAACACTCGACATTCTCTGTCCACTTTCCTTTTCTTGGGTCCGCTCATCTTCATAGAGGGGCGGTGGGTCACAGGGTAAAGTGCAAACGTGGAGTAATAGGCCTACGCTTCACCTCAACAAAGCCAATATATCTAGAGTGCGCCATCTAGTGAGGAAGCATCAGAATTGCAGGGGAAATAAAACATTAACAAGGTTAATTTATTAAATTTTTTCAAGTTTGGCGGACCAAATCAAAACGTTTAACAGGCTGCATGTAGCACCCGGGCCGTAGTTTGCCCATGCCTGGTCTAAGCTGATTGATAAATCCACTTCCCATTTTGCAAAAGGAAGGGATATTGATTAATCTATTTTAGAGTATTCTGTATATTTTAGACAATAATTTGGGGGTTTTAAGAGTAAGAAATTGTACCACACTTGATGGTGTTTGTAATTCAACTTGGCCGGGTTTAAATTTCTTTTTTTTACTATGGATTTAATTTGTTGATATTCTAAAAGTCTTTTCTTGCTGATCCCATATTGTGTAACTAGTCTGTCAAACTGAATAAATTCTGTTCCTTCTAGTATATGTTCTAAATATTTGATTCCTTTACCACTCCAATCTGGAAAGTTTATCATATTATTGTTTTGTAATATGTCAGGGTTGTTCCAGATAGGTGTACGTTTGCATGGGATTAATGAAGACATTGTTACAAACTCCCACCATGCTGTCAGAGAAGAGCTGATGCTGACGCTCTTAAAGCATTCATGTCGTTTGATGTATGAACTGATAAATTGTCTTAAATCTCTAGATCATTTGAAAAGTGCCTGTTCTACATCTAGCCAAGGTTCATCTAACAGAGCGTGTTTGAACCATCCTGAGATGAACTGAAGCCTGTTGGCTAAGAAGTATTGTTGATAGTTAGGTAGATCTAGTCCTCCTTTATCCTTGGTCCTCTGATACACTGAGTTTATCTTTCCAAAGGAATTTAGACATATATGAATCTAGAGATCTGAACCAGTCTGGTGACGGTTTGTTCGGGATCACTGACAATAAATAATTGATTTTTGGTAAGACCATCATTTTTACTGCAGCAACCCTTCCCATGAGTGATATGGGTAGAGATTTCCATCTAGCCAAATCACCTTCTACTTTCTTTATTAGTGGGATATGGTTTAATTTAGTTAAATCTGCAAGCTTAGGAGAGAAATTAATACCTAAATATTGAGTATTCCCAGATTACAGTGGGGTAGAAGAAGACTTACAGAAGGAGCAATTAATCGGAAGAACTGTAGATTTTGACCAGTTAATCGAATAATCTGAAAACTCTTGAAAAAGAGTTTATTAATGTAATTACCTCAGAGAGATTGGTTTGTGAGTTCTGGAGAAAAAGCAACACGTCCTATGTTCTACATTCTTGCATTTTATGCGACTTAATCACTGTATTCTGTCTAATTGCTGCTGCTACTGTTTCGATAAACACTGCAAACAGTAAAGGGGAGAGTGGGCGTCCCTGCCTGGTGCCCCTCAGGAGACAGAAGCTGGAGGATGTTTGGTCATTTGTTCTGACACAAGCTGTTAGTTTATGAGTTTCCAAACCAAATTTGTGTCAAGTTGCAAATAAAAATTTCCAGTTAACTCTGTCATACGCTTTTTCTGCATCTAGAGATAATGTTTTGGTTTCAGTGTTTTTTCTGCATGAACAGTCTATCAAATTAAGTAGTCTACGTGTATTTGTTGATGAGTGCCTACCTTTTATGAAACCAGTTTGGTCAGGATGAATTAAGAGGGGGGTTATCTCCTCTAATCTCTTTGAGAGAGCTTTGCAGATTATTTTGATGTCTGCATTAATGAGGGATATTGGATGATAGCTTGAGGGATATACAGGGTCTTTCCCTGATTTTAGCAAGAGACTAATATTTGCAGAATTCATATTTGGTGGTAGCCTGCCATATTCCATGAATTCCTGCAACATCTTGTGGGATACTGGTGCTAGAATCGTCCAGAGTTATTTGTAGAATTCTGCAGGAAAGCCGTCTGGACCTGGAGCCTTATTACTGGGCATGCTTATCAGGGCTTCCTGGAGTTCACCTGATGTCAGTGGGGACTGATGAATGGGATGCTGAAGCACCCCCAAAAATAGGCTAAAATTGCCCCTGAATTATATAAGGATATAAGAGTTTTTAAATACTTGGCTTTGCATTCTGACTTTAATCTACAGCCAATGAACATTCTGCACACACTACATCATTACAGTTTATCTCAACCTAACAGCTGGGAAAGGTTTCAGCACCCAGACAAACCTGAAGTGGTTAACCAGAAGAAAACGTATGGCTGGATAATTTGCTGTTATTAATTAATAGATACAGTACTGATTATGCTTATCATTGCAATGTCAGCTATTGATCTGATTGCTAATTTCCAAGTTAAATTATTGATTGGGTTTACCATGTCTTACCTGGAAGGGGGGTTATTAGGCACGTCACCTAGACTCCCACCATCCTGAATCTTTATCATTTGCACTTTGATACTTTCTATTAGTCATGAATGAGTAAGATATAAATCTGTCCAACTCCATCAAGCTCTGAAGTCTGCTCCAGTGTGCCTTGCAGGAAGGTAATGAGATCGATGAGTTCAGTCGGGTTCTGATTTGTGTTGTACACAGCTAGTATTTTGCTGCAACTGGGAATATTGTTTGTACATTGTAGTGCACATACTAGTAACTACACATAAGCCTCAAACTAAGGATTCAGTTAGTTTTTAGATTTTTTGTCGTGTTGTTTTAACAATCTGTAAAATTTCACTCAGGTAATGTTCATCTGACTAATTAAGGAGCAGTTGTAGTTGAAGCTCTGATTGTGTGACTCGTGTAGGATAAACTATCTAATGACACTGATTTATAATTACTCAGAAGCTCAGTTCTACAGAAGGGGAGTCTCCAGACCACAACATGGCAAAACTCCTTATAGGTAAATAACGTTCATTCATTCTTCCATTAACTTTTCCTTTATTATTTATTGAGCGGTAGAGCATCGTCATTATAATACTGAATTTATAATTATTATTATTTTAATTACTCTGTATTTTTTTTCTATCCTTCTATCTTGGATAAAGATTACGTGTATTTACTAGAGATCACGGCTCAGGCCAAGATTTAAGGATTTATGGCGTTTCTCAACAACAATGCTCCATCTGGTGGCAGATGGCTGCACGGCATTTAAAACACATCAATTTACCAGCACCGGGCATCAGCTAAAATATTAACAATTATATCTAACAACAGTAGTAACAAAAGCGACGATTTTCACGCTTTCTTGTTTCCTTGTTTCAGCTCTGGGCATTCTGTGTGTTCTACACATGTGTGAGTACCTGTGTTCATTGACCGAGTCTTGCCAGCATGATCAAAGTTTCAGAACAAACCCAACGAGTCTTTGCTCTATCTGCCCTTAGGTTCAGCCAATAAGCTGGTGTGCCATATGACCAACTGGGCCCAGTACAGACCAAGTGCTGGCAAATTCACACCAGATAACATCGATCCCTTCCTGTGCACCCATGTCATCTATGCTCTGGCCACCATTAACAGCTACAACCAGATCACCCCCATTGAGCACAATGATGAGGAGCTGTACAGGAGCCTTAACAGCCTGAAGAATGTGTGAGTTCAGCCGTGCTATGCACCAGTATTACCCACAATTTAATATTAGCAACCACTTTTAAGCCAAAAACCACATTTCAGTGTTTCCATCGCAGCTTCTTTCAGCAGAGTAGCTTTTAGAAGAACATTTAAATAAGAAGGATGAGTAACCTTGAATTCTGTCACAATATTTGTAATTATTTTGAAATAATTAAGATCACAGCAATCCGGAAGTAAGGTGTTCCTTAATTATTTAAGGTTATGTCTTTGTGTCTCCTACTCTCTGCTAACAGCAACCCTGCACTGAAGACTCTGCTGACTGTTGGAGGAACTGTTAATGGAGTGAGCCCGTGAGTTCTCAGATCTCATATCTACCTCTATTACTTTCATGTAGACGAGATGTCATGTTTCATATTTCCCTGCATCCCACCAGATTCATTGCTATGGTTTCCACTTCTGAGAATCGTGCACTCTTTATCAAGTCTGCCATCACTTTCCTGCGTGCCCATAACTTCGACGGGATAAACCTGGACTGGGAATATCCTGGACACAATGGTAGCCCAGACAAGGACAAGGAGAGGTTCACTCTATTGGTCACGGTAAACACAGCTCACACTGGCCTCAAATTTTAAATGCAATGTTGAAGCTAGACTACATTGTGGCATGATGGTTAGCGCTGTTAGCTGTGACAGTAGGTGTGAGTATGAATGGTCGCCTGTGTCTCTGTGTTAGCCCTGTGAAAAACTGGTGACCTACGCAGAGCGTAACCGGCCTCTCACCCTGTAGCAGCTGGACCCTGAACTGAATAAGCAGAGAAAACGAATGTTTGGAGTGTTTTCTCTACCATTGAATTCTTTTGGTTGGGTTCATTTCAAAAAGTTGCTTTTTGTTGGATTTTTGTTGATCACTGCATTGCAAAATTTTGTTGATGAAATGAAATAATTCTTGTAAACCAGAGCAGCCAATATAGCTTTCAATCCATCCAGTGTCTCCATGGTCTCCTATGTTAAACCTCACAAATATTAAATTAAAATAAGGTCCTGTGTGTCTTCGACCTTGAAATAACACTATTGGAAATCTTGTTTCTTGTATTACACTCTGTACCCTGTGGAACGGATTGATGAAAGGATGAATGTACCCTACCCTGTTTTCTTTCATTTTGCCTCTGTCACCGATCTTTTTCCTGACCGTTTACAATATACATTACTTTACTTATGCATTACTGTATTTATGTAACAACTGACACCTTTTCCTCTCAAAAACCAAAAAACCCTTTATCATAACAGTGCATTGCTTTGAGAATAATCATTCTTCATTGTTGTAATCAGAATTTTCTCTGACTGGCTCTGCGCTGCTTTTGCCTTTGCCTCTATAGGAGCTTGTAAAAGCATTCGAGGCTGATGCCATAGAAAACAAGAGAACTCAGCTGCTGCTATCGGCCAATGTTGCTGCAATTCTTCAGACCGTTGATAGAGCATATGAGGTCGCCAAGATTGCACCGTAAGCTTGATTTCAGCATTTGTACATATTTTCAGGAAAGTAAGGTATCCCCCCAAAATTTTCACCATTACTGAACGTTAGCATTAGCAAATTACTCATTAGTATTAATTATTAGTGTTCCTTATTTCAAATGACACAGAGCCCAATTTTACATGTACTGTGTGACCACAAAGGTCCCATATGGTCTGTGTCTTTCACAAATGAACAAATGTATTGAACAAAAATTTCCAACCCAACAGACACTTTGACTTTATCAACATCATGACCTATGACTACCATGGTCACTGGGACCCACTAACTGGACACAACAGCCCACTGTATGAGAGCGCTGTGGACTCTGGCATACAACTTCATTACAACATAGTAAGAACCACACTATCACATCTACATCTGTCTTCTAGGTTGTTGAACACAATGAAAGAATGAACAGGGGGTGATTTATGAAAAGAGAGAGCCCCCCCACCCCCAATAACAGGGGGCAACTGTCCTGTATATGAAGCCTGTTAGATCATATTATTGCTATAATGTAACATTTAAAGAACATGTATATGAATTTCAACTAAACTGTTTTAGAAATTAAAAATAACCACAAGAATATTGAAACCCTTTTAATTAAATTAATATGCTCAGTGTTCCTCGCTTTCTTCTTCAGATAAAGGTTATCCAATCAAATGTAACATAACCAGTTTAACACAAGCTTTATGCAATGTTCTTCTCCCTGTTTTGTAGAACTCCTCTATAGCCCACTGGGTATCTCTGGGAGCACCATCTGAAAAGCTGCTGCTAGGTTTCCCTACTTATGGAAGGACCTTCCGTCTTAGCACTGGGGCAAATGGCCTGGGAGCACCAGCCAATGGGCCCGCACATGCTGGACCCTACACTCGCACTGAAGGTTTCTGGTCCTTCTATGAGGTACAATAACACATTCATAAAAAGCTCAAGTTTGTTTGTGCTGTAAGTCACCTATTACTCCATGATTGGTGGCTGTAGCTCAGGAAGTAGAGGAGGTCATCTATTAATTGGAAGCTCTGTGGTTTGATCCCTGGCTGGTCCAGTATCCTTAGGCAAGGTATTGAAGCCCATGTTGCTCTCCAGTGTGTTCATCAAAGTGTGAATGTTAGATAGAAAGCATTTAGGTGTGGAAAAAGTGCTTGTATGAATGCATGTTTCATAAATCCCTGTGAGTGCTCAAGTGGAGTAGAAAAGCCCTATGCAAGAACCTCTTCACCTACCATTAATCCACCAGTCCAAAAGCCTGTGTTGTTTCTGGGTTACCAGATCTGTGACTTCACTAATACTGCTACTCTTGGATGGATCTCTGAGCAAGAGGTTCCATATGCCACCTATGGGAGTTCCTGGTTGGGCTATGATGACCAGCGCAGCTATTCTTCCAAGGTAAACAGCTTTGATATGCCTCAAATAAGACAAGTTCTTGTATTTGTTCTGTCCTATTGAATTGTGCCCACTTTTATTATAATCAGTTTTGTTGGCTGTCCTGCAGGTCCAGTGGCTGACTGCCCACAATTTGGGAGGTGCTCATGTGTGGACTTTGGATATGGATGACTTCGGTGGATCTTTCTGCTCAGCTGGAGCTTATCCTCTCATCAACCACCTCAGGATTTCAATGGGTAAGTGGTGTCATTCAGCTAACTCAGCGTTTATAAAATACAATAGAATTCAACACAACTTTATTTATATCGCAGATGTAAAACCAAAGTGCTTCACAACAAGGTTAAAACATAACAGATAACAGGGTACAAATAAACTAACCATTGAGAAATGCTAGTTAAACAATCAATACAGATAAAATAGAAAATAAAGCATCTCAGCGTAATCTAGTGGATAAAATCACTGAGAATTCGTAAATATAAGGTGGGGGTATTAGGGGGTCCAAGAGTATCAGCAAATTGGCCCCGGGGAATATGGTTATCAAACTACACTGTTTCTGTTTTCTTCTCATTTAAAAGAGAGTTATCAGAGAGCCAGTCTTTGACCTCTCTCAAGCACTCTAGCAGACAGTGTACTGGCGACGAAATGTCATCAGACAGCCCAAAGTAAATTTGAATATGGTCAGCATAAAAGTGAAAGGAGATATTATACTTCTCGAAAATAGAACCTAGGGGCAGCACATACAATGAAAACAACATAGGGCCCAACACAGATCCCTGGGGCACACCACAGTAGAGGGACGCAACAGAGGAAAAGAAGCAGTGACGGAGTAGGACGATAGATACGATCTAAACCAGTTAAGGGCACTGCCCCTTATGCCTACTGTATGTTCAAGCCTCATTAGGAGGATATTATGGTCCACCGTAACAAAGGCAGGTGTCAAGTCCAATAAAACTAAGACCGTAGAGCACCCTGAGTCAGCAAATAAAAGAAGGTCATTAAGGACTCTCAGCAGAAAGAAATAAAAGAATAAAAACAAAAGTTTAGTCACTTTCTGCATATAACCTTTTTTTCATTGTCCTGTGATACAGGCTTTGGTCCAAAACCTACCACCACTCCACGCCCTACCACCACTAGGGACCCAAGTGCTGACTTCTGCCGTGGCCGTCCTGATGGGTTGTATGAAAACCCAGCTGACAAAACCACCTACTTCCAGTGCTTCCAGGGAAACACCTACCTGCACCATTGCCAGCCTGGTCTCATCTACTGGGACTCCTGCAAGTGCTGCAACTGGCCCTGAGCCACAGAAGCATGAATTAGAGAACAAAAGTTCAACAATACAAAACAGTCAGTTATGGTTCAGTAAAATGTTGCCACAACTTAAACTGATAAACATCACTGACCTGAGTTAGAGCAGAAACAGAAAGTAAACCAACATGATATTACTTTTTGCATTTGACTCAATATTTTCTTGACAAAAATAAACTAAATCAATTCATAACGTGTTCCAGTGATTCGGAACACGTGAGTGTATCCTACTTGAATATTTGTCTTTGATGTGCTTCAGAGAAAAAATAGACAAAAACAAAAGAAACTCATATACATGATTAAATATTTTTAAAACTGTGCCTTACTACATTATATGTAATTGAGCTGCTCTAATTTTAAGTGACAATTATTGCTATGTTTTCATTTTGTGAACTGATTACACTTTAATTGAATGAAATGGGGCAGCCCGCTTGTGTGGTAGTGAGCACCAATGCCTCACAGCAAGTAGCTCTCTGATTTACATACAGACTGGGGTTACATATAGTGGGTAAAATAAGTATTGAAGATGTCACCAATTTTCTAAGTAGATATATTTCTAAAGGTGTTACTGACATGACATTCTTATCAGATGTTGCTACAACCCATCAAATCCACACATGCAAAGGAACCACAGATATATAAATGTATGTGTAATAACAACAAATGACACAGGGAAAAGTGTTGAACACATGAACAAAAGGGAGGTGCAAAAAGACTGGAAAGACATTACCACAGCTGAAATCTATCAATATTTAGAAAGCAATCCTGACACTCTAGATTAATATTAGCTGGTTTAGTTTCAAATGATGGCCTATCAAAATGTCTTATTATGGTGTCACACAAAAAACCCCGCACATAATGGGTAAACCCAATGAACTCATGCAAGACCTCCACAACATACTGATGGCATTGGTTACAGAAGAATTTAGGATATGTCTGTGAAATACTGGGATAATAATCTGGACATATGCCATAACACCCACCATGTCTGGAGGTCAAAAGGCAATGCATATCACCGCAAAAATACCATACCAATAGTGAAGTTTGGAGGTGGGAACATCATGGTTTGGGGCTGTATTCCAGCATATGGCACTGGCACACTTCAATTAACTGAAAGAAAGATAAATGAAAAAATGTAGAGACATTCTTGATAAAAATCCACTGTCATCCACCAGGATGATGAAGATGAAATGAGAGTTAACATTTCAGAAAAACCCATGATCGCAAACACACAGCTAAGGAAACTCTCAACTGATTTCAGAGAAAGAAAATAGAGCTGCCCATATGACCAGCCAATCACCTGATCTTAATCAATCTGAAAATTGGATGGGTTGTTATCGACATCTGATGAGGATTTCATGTGCCTAGCACCTCTAGAAATATATTTACTTCAAGGGCGTAGATTTGGCATGGACGGAAGGGACGTGTCCCCACCAATATCCAGCGATTATTGAATTGTCCCCACCAATAATTTGATCTCTTTGAGTAAAGAAAAACAAACCCGATAGAAAGAAAAAAAAAAACGTTACAGGCTATGCTAGGCCATACATGCCAACACTCCCGATTTTTCCGAGGAATCCTGAATTTCAGTGCCCCTCCCAAAAATCTCCCGGGGCGACCATTCTCCCCAGTTTCTCCCGATTTTCCACCCGGACAACAAAACTAAAACCATATCCCAGACTGGCCCAGCCAATTCCAGTTTCCAACAATGGCTACTATTACTGCAGCTACTTAGTTTTAATATTACTCTTTCTGGGTCGCAAAATAAACTTTTAACACATTTTCAGGCGAGAATGTAGCTGTGTAAACGTCAAATAACTTGAACATGTTATTGTTTGGCCTTTTTCAGTGCTTTAGTTGTGTTTTATTTGTTGGTGAGTAAATCGTTTTGGCTGAGATTAAAGTTATTAGATTAAATTAGATTAAGTAAAACTTTATTAATCCCTCGGGAGGATTCCTCCGGGTTCTCACACAGCTGAATAAACTGCTGTGTGAAAACAGCAGTTTATTCGACCATCTACGCCAGCGTCCGGTTATATTTTAGACAGCAAGGAGCAGACGGCAGGTGACGTAATTCTGAAGGCTAGACCGTCCAATTTCACAGTCGCTCATTTCCGGTCTACCCGGCTTTCGGAGGACCCGGCTCACTTAGACCACAAAGGCCGGGTCCTCAGGTGGAGGCAGCCTCTGAATTTGGACACCCCCGGCCTGTTTCCGGCCGGACAATAATAATGGTGACATTTAAGTTACTTTATCCGATAAATAAACACTGTAAAATCAAGTTTTTTGTATATATATGTACATGTATATCCCCCCCGCCCCCCCAGAATGTCTCTCTAATTCTGAGGTCTCAAGGTTGGCAACTAGGTGCTAGGCTTGGTCCACATCAGTCTAAAATTGTATGTAACCATGAATAATGTGATGCCATGTCCACCAGGAGAGACTGGACAGTATAGATGTAAAACAAATATGCCAGCAGTTCATTTCAGCTAACGACAGGAGCAGGCATGTGTTTGTTGTGTGGGCATGTAGTCCATGTCTGTTGCTGTAACAGTAGTTCATGTTTAGCATAAAACATCCCAGCTCACTGATCTGATAGAGGGCAGTAGTGCCTAAAATGTTGCATAATGTTGCTGAGAGATCTTTTACTTTGTGGTAATCTTAGACGAGTAGTTTTATGGACAAAAACCAGCAGGTCATTCAGTGTTCCCTTAGTGCTAATGTGTCAGAGATGTTGGTGTAACTGAAGTAATGTTGTTAAGTCCTTAAAGTCATATTCTTTTATTGTCATGACTGTATTTGAAGCTATTTTTATTTTTGTATGATACCTGATTTATATGGAATATGGCTGAAGTAAACTAAAGCCTAAAATACTTTGTCAGTCATTTGTTTAATAGTAACTTAACATTATTTAATTCACATATTAATTAACCTATTAAAAGCAGGTAGAATAGCATCTGTAGGCAAGTATATTTCTCCTTTTTTTTGTCAAGAAGCAAAAACAAAAAGGAAAAATAAGAAACGGGGCAGGGTTCGGTGGTTGAATCATCCATCCCCACCAACGCCAAAACCAAATCTACACCCTTGATTTACTTAGTAAATTGATGAGGTGTTTGATGCTTTTTTTACCTGCTGAGACTCAATCAGGAATAATCTACAGCACCTGACTCTGTGCAAACAACAGTGAGGCAAATCAAGCCAATATCTTCCTTAATTACAGACTCTGCATGCATTGTTGGGCCAAACACGAACGCACTACTTCCAAAGGTTGTGCATGTGTCTTCACACGCACATGAACTTGAGTGACATCCAAGGTTATTATCGTTAACGAAAACTAA